CTGATCACCATTGCTATCCTCATGAAATAGTGTTTAGGTGCATTGCCTTGCTTTCTTTTATTCTTGTTGTATCATTTCACTTCTTATCTCGTTGCTTTAAACTTAAGAAAAGATAAATATACTTCTTTAACTTGGTCTCTGTGACCTTTGTGCTAACTCTGTCCACTGGCAAAACAAGTATATAAGGCAAGTATATAACAAGTATATAAGTATTTAAGTATATAATTCCTTTAGTAATAAAAAATTACTAAAGGAATGCATAATTTATTTTAAAATATTTATGTGTTACTGCTAGAATCCACCTGGATCTCTACACTGTTTCATCTGCTAGAAACAGAAAATGCTGTGTGACTACCCAGCTACAGTATTTACCCAAATTCCCATAAACTAATTTAGTAGTTTTTGTAAATGAAAACACCAACTATTTCAGTTGAAAGCAGTAAATAAAGTTCACTTATTTCAATCATTTAAGACTTTTGAATTATTTTAATATTGCTTTGCATAGCTTAACTTTAATATTTATTAAGCTTCTCTTCTTGCTTTTTGCCTGCAATTTAATAAAAAGATAATTTCAACTAGTCATGTAAAACATAACATTCAGAAATTTCCTTTGTGGAACAGAAGGCACCAAACTTCTTGCATACAAAGAAAAATCTGCAATTCCACATTATGAATACAAATAAGACAAAACATGGCCTTTATGAATGGTTTCACTACTTCAAAGTAAAATTAGGAAGCATGGGAACTTAGTACAATCCAATATCAATATTGATTTTGTTTTCAGATACTGCTTTCCTGTTATTTTACAATTTGTTTTCAAGTTTGTTCCTGGTTTGTAAATCAATTCTTATTCCTGTTAATCAGGTGACTTGGATTGTCTCCCTGTAGTATGTCCTACTCTACATTTCCATGAACTGCTGCATATTTTTCAGACTGCACTTTGCTTTCTTTACATCTTGCATCATTGAAAGGAGTCAGAATGTAAACAAAATGCTATGGCGAAGGTGTTGTCCAAGCATTACTTTACACAGGAAGCTAACAAGCTTCTTTTATTCTTCTAACCACAGACTTGGAATACTTATAACGTATCTACAGAATTTAAATCAATCTTGTAATTAATTACATTGCACGTGGGAGCAAACAACAGATGTGAAAATTCCTTGAAACTGCTTGCAAAAGTCAGCACTTTGGAACAAAGTTATGCTTCTGTTCACTTAATTCATTACTCCAATACTAAAACAAAAAGTGCTCACAGAATGAGCTGAAGTGTCACATTAAGACCACATAAGAAGCCTTTTATTATATTCCTAGAAAAGTACCACATTAATCAAATTTTTAATCAAAAATTTGTATTAAAAAAATGTATTACAAAAGTAATACAGTTGTACAGGTCTGAGGTAAGTCACCTGCTGTGTCTTTATCTCATAGTCCATGGATGTCAGTTCGGGAGTTGTAATAAAAGGTTATAGTTTACATGCTATTAAACTCCTTGCCATGTTCTCCTATTAGTACGTATACCTATTACGTATAGGTATAAAAAGCCTACATACCAACATATAAGTATATACTACTACATCAGCATTTTGCAAAACAGACTGAGGAAAAAAGAAACTAACAGCTATTACACCTAGTACCAGGGAACCCTTTCAGATACATTCAATTTGAAAACAAACACCAGAATTTTTAGAAACAATGCAAAAACTGGAAGAGCATTCTCCATTCAATTAATAACACATGCACAAGGGTCTGAATGGCTGGCCTATGTGATTTACTATCTTGGGGGACTCAAAACACTGGAGTCTGTCATAGTTCTCACTATTTTCAGAGCAGTCAGAAATGCAAGTCCAGAGGTTATAGGATTATGAGTTTCAAACCACAAAAGACAACACTAGCAAATGAGTTAGTAAATCTTGAGCTTATGTCAGAAAAGACAAATGTGGATGCTCACAGAAAAGTTCTTCTTTATCGTTTTTAACCGAAGTGCTTCCCTCTATATCCAAGTCTCATTAATATATGAGGCACTCAATACTGTGTTATATCTATGCACTGGATATAAACTAGAAATAACATTTATTTTTATGATAATTTAAAGTGAAAGTCATTTAATCCTACTTTAGTGCCTGCCTTCTTTTTTCATCTGTGTTAGAATTCACTGCCCTCTACTCGTTCCTCCCTTACTCTAGCAAGACAGTAAAGCATAGTTTTGCTTTCAATACTTCTGTTCAAACAATGACCTACCAATACTACAGAGTCAAACAAAATTTCAGAAAATTAATAAAGATATTTTCTGAACCTAGCATGGGTGTACTTCTGATGAAAAAATAATGTCTGGTTATTGGCTGTAGCAAGTATATTAAAATTTGACTCAGAAAAGTTCTTTAAGGTATCATGAAGGTTTATATAAACCTCTACAAATCTGATAGCTTTTGAAGATTTCTTTCACCAGATATAGCAGTATTATTTTATATTCCAGCTTTGAAGAACACTTGGGAACAGTAGTAGTTACAAAGTAATTACAAAATAATAATGGGTCAAATTTCCACAAAACATCCTTCATAACTTAGATATGTAGATTCTCACAGCAACATACACATTCTTCTAGTAAAAAATTCTTCCTTGAAAATGCAACAAATAAAAGAAAACTGAAGTATATATATTGAGCTACTGCCAAATTAGTGCTATTAAAAAAAACCTGGGATTATATTTGGAGTATTAAAAGATCATAATGAGATCACATTGTCTACTTTTCATTTATTTTCTCAAATGATACATTACCAATTGGATTTTCATTTTCTGTTTTAGTTTGCATTGTCCTTTAATCTGTAAAGGTGAAGAACTGATGACATTCCCCACTTGATTTAGACATTTTGGCTTGAATGCATAGTAAGTAGTAACACTATCCTTGCCTTGGGCATTTTACCTTTATGATATTGTTGCTTAATTTTTCATTTCCCCCTCTTAATGTTTATCTTCTCAACCTCTCATTTCTAGTAAAAAAATCCATGCTTGTCAACTGTTCATCCGCCCTTCAGAAAATATAGTCAAAGAGATGAGTCACTTTTTGTTCCACTGATACTGAATGAAACTTGTTTCTAGGTAACAAAGTCAAAAATATAATGTGCAAAACTAATTAATAAACAAATAGTGTCTTTATAGCTTCATCATATGTATGGACAAATTTTACACATATGATATTGTTACTCCAGAATTTTATGAAACCTACAACAGCTCTAAAGAGTTTATGTTAAAAGAATACTGATGAGGAAAGTGTATGGTTGAAGAGTGTTGTACAGAGAACAAAAGAAAGAACAGTTATTTGCTTTTTGTTAAGTAACCTAGTTCAAAGAATCCCATCACACAGAAAATTGGTACAAGTTCTTCATGATACTTTTACTCTCATAAAAGAACACGGGTGAGAAAAGGGAGGAACTGAAGGTAGGGTTGGGAATACAGAAAGAACATCCTCAGCAGTAGGGAAAAATCTCAGCAATGCCTTGAACAGCTACTCTGCATCTTGGAACAGTAACAGTTGCCTAAAACCTTTAATCAGCTCAACTCAAAGAATATCCCCATCAGAGAACTCCAAGTAAATGTATGTGAAAGCAGAACTTCTTCATTTATGCAATCAAAGTACATGTTAGAGAACAAGGATGCTTAAGTCTGAGGATATACTTCATAGGTTTCTAAGAAAACGCAATCCTGATCTGCCTCCAAAGCAACTTTATCTCTTTAACCATTATTATAGAGACCATTCTAATGTACATAGCTTCCTCACTGGCAGTGAGCCCTCAAATGAGGTCTAAGAGCAGTGGAGCCAGACTCCGCCCCTTCTAGTCACACAGCTGACCGTGCTCTCAGGGCTGACCGGATGCTTTCCCCAGGTGCTCAATCAGTGGTTCAGGTCATTACTCAACAGTTCCCATACAATACTGCATTTACCATTAAAAAAATAAAATTTTACGCTATCACAAAATAAGATGAAGTTTCTGGATAAGAATTTGCTCTTTTCTTAAAGTGCTTAACCACTGCTAACCAGGTACAGATATTGTAGTAGCCTTGCTTGAAGGATTCTAAAACTTATTTTCAAAGCAATGATGAAAGGTATGCTACTTTTGTAAAGGCATAGCTGGAACTCTCTAAATAATTCAAGGAAAATAAAAATACGAAAGCTACAAGTTTTCACTAAGCTATTTTAAAAAATTCTTTCCACAGGCTGTTTTTTAGTGTAGTTAATGAAGCTTTTTTTTTTTTTTTTTTTTTTTTTTTAACTCTGACAAGTGCATGGCCTTTGATCAAGGCCTATTTATCATCTCTCTTATGTAAAATAAAAAAGCTACCATGTGTAAGGATTTGAAGAGAAAAATATCCTCCCATCTGATCTTAAATACAGTAATTTTATAGGTCTTATGCCAGAAAAACTAACTGTCCTCAGACAGGAAATTTTTTATTGAATAGAAATATGTGGCAATTGAGTAATAAAGGAAAAAACAATTATTGCAATAACTTGATATTCAAGAACTCTATGAAACAAGTGGAAATGCTGTTCCTACTAGATAAATAAAAAACAATTTTGTTTCTTTGAAGATGGTATTTTGTTTCTCTTATTTGTGAAAGCTTCAGAAGGACAAGAAAGATTGACAGCAATCAGAAAATGGAATAAAGGCAAGGAACTCTAACTGTGGGTGTAGGTGGAAAGAAAACGGGGGTCTCCACTCCTGAAGATAGCAGAAATCCAAGAAATTAAGGACAGATTAATTGTTATAGAATTTCCTAAAGAAAAAGTAATAAACTAGCTAATTTATTCATTTTATTATTCTGCCTTTTGATTTGCAAAAAACCTAAAATTCTATAAATTGACATGTAGAACTATGTTATACTACAAGAAACTGTTAGACAAATTTAAAGATATTACTCCTGATTCTGTTTTTTCGTGAATGTCAAGACAGATTTCAAGATTTTTCACTCCAGGAAATAAAACCCTTTAGCCTCTGGTAACTCACCCTTTTCTGCTCCTTAATATATTCCATTAGTTCCTCTCTTGTCCTTTTAACAGCTTCTTCGATTGCCTTTTCACTTCGTTTTTGCTCCTCCATTAACGCTTTCTTGATAATTTCCTTTGTAAAATGAAAACGTTAAGTGTAAGTATTAAAAATATTTCATAAATGTAACACATCTCACCCTTTTCCTTCCTAGAAGTTTATCATGATCATATTCTGCCCCAAATTAGCATGACCCTAAATCAAATCTGATTTGGTAATAGAAGTACACTGTACTAAAGAAAGCCAGGTTCAAATTAAAACACCTCTATCACCTTAACAACATAAGTAATTTGCCCAGGAAACATCTTTCTGAACCAAACAGACTGTCCTAATGCTTAAGTTCCAGCATCCAAAGTCACTCATTAAATACATAACAATATTAATTAGCTAAGATTTCCATTTTCAAAGTTCAGGAACATGAGGTGACAAACAAGATTCCTGAAACATACAAAAGATTACATAATAGCCAGTCAAAATGATCAGTGTATGTTAAATGATTTAGATGAAGAAAGAGGGGAAAGGAAAAAGGGAAATAGTGGATTATTTATTTACTTATTTATTTTTAGGACTAATCAGAAGACACCACTGGATTTACCATCAACTATCTTCATCTCCATCTTCATTCTGGATATTCAAAAGCAGATGCAGCAAAAATAGTAGCAGTGTGCCTTCAGAATGAAGGAGGAGTGGAATGTACTTCTGCTGCTTAATATCACTAGATCTAAGCTTGTTTACCACATACACATTTAGCATGAATACTAAGATTTAATCAAAATTTAATAGCATTTTTTTTCTTTTGAAGGACACAAAGATATCATATAGCTGATTAGAAATACTACTTTTCTTTTTTTTTTTTTTTTTTTTTTTTGTGAGAATTTCCAGTCCTAAAAATATAGGGATAAAAATTGACTAAAAACCATGAAAACTGTTTCAAATATTCACAGCAATTACAAAAAATATCATCGCACTATTTCCTTCTATGGGCCAAAATTCATATTCCCTGTTACTGTGCCATAGCCATGCATTACAGATCCTGTAAGGGAACTAAGAATCCAGTATGTAATAAAGCAATTGATTATGAAAAAAGATGACCACTGAGGCAATGCTGCAGTACATGGGAAAGAAGAATCTTGATTTCCTTCCTTCACAAAACTAAAAGCAGTGCAGCTAAGGAAAATACTCTGGGAAAAAAAAAAAAAAAAAAAAAAAAAAACCAATGGTTCAACACACCGTTTTGGTGTATTTATTTATGGATATGTGCAGATTTTTCACTCTCTTTTTTTTTAAGTTTTAAATACATTTATTTTTAAAATGAAAAATAAATGCTCAGGAACCATCTTCTTCCTCACTACTGTTTACTGTTTAGACATAGCACTACATAATTAGTAGGTGCTGAAAAGGTTTGTCTGTCCATAAGTTTGCTTGAGTGCAGAATAATGCTGACATTTTATGATACATATCTGAAGTAGTGGAGGTTGGATTTTTTGTTTTTTCCTTTTTTGTCAGAACTCTACTGACCAAGGACTACTGATCTAAATGGTGTTCAAAGACCTTTTATTATACGCTATATCAACAGATACGATCCATTATCAAATAAATATTATACCAGAATAGTGCCTACTAAGCAACACATCTTGTAGACAGAAAGTAAAACCAAAAACAAAAAATCCACATTTTTCATCAATTAAAAAAAAAATCAACAATGGAATTTTTTTAAGATTTAATTATAAACAGACATTCAGGCTTTTGTCAAAATAAGTATTCATTGTTACATAATTGTCAGGCTTAAAAGAAGACAATTAACTTTACTGCAGAACTTTGAGTATTCAAATAAAAATATTCAGTTAAAATATGATATTTATAAAAGATTATGATTAGCATAAGGACAAATCCATAATTTCACAAATGTTTGGGAGCTCAGATGACAACCATTTTATGGCCTTGTTTACTTTAATGGTTTAAGGAACATTTGTCAAACTGAGAAGTGACACCATTTTTAAATACAGAATCTCAGAACCCTAACATGCATTCTTAGTGCTTTATTATTCTTCGAATAGAATATTTTTGCAGGAACCCAGTTGTACTGAATGTATACACTCCACAGAACAGGTGGATGGCTAATGCTTCAGAGGTATCAGATATTTACAAAATTACATAATCCATCTACACACATCAGAGTGACTTTACCATATACTTTTAGTGTACAAAATGAATAATATCACTGGATTGGACTAATTGGACTAGATCTTTGAAACTCTTCAGTTGAAGAGTTTCAAGTGAAAAAAGTACTATTTCTTATCTCTAGCAATTTATGTCATTTCAAACAAATATTAATTCAGATTACCAAAGAAAAATCCTGAGACAAAGGCCTCTTTCATTTATGAACTCTAGCAAGACTAACAGAAAAAGTAGCAGAAAGTTACACATTATAGGAATATGCTGTTCTCATATTCTCATGCCAGCTAAATTAGTCAAAAGTTTCCCAAATACTTTGTTTCATATTAGAATGGAAAATAATGAATTCATTTACTCAATTAAATTCTTAAAGGCAAATTACAAAACTGATATGGTGCCAAATATTAAAGCGCAGAAAATCCTGTATTAATAAAATGTTTAAAAACAACAAACATATAAATTTTCCTTGAGATCATGCTACTTGATACTTAAAACAAAAGCCCTACATGAATAAAGATTCAAATAAAAATACAATCAAATTCCAAGGTTCTACTAAAAATTACTACTAAACGAAACCTACTAGCAATACATTTATTACAGACTATTTTAACAAAGTTAATACAAAAAATGAAACTTAAATGACTTGTCTTCCATTTACAACTTCACTTAATTAAGAACAAGCTCTGATGAATACAAAGTTTTGGATAAATATGAAAACAAAGTTGCATAAAGTCCTGTTGAAGTGATAAGCAGAGCATACTATAATTATACTGTCTGTTAGTTGCAGCTCATCACAGCAAACATACATAGGCCTCTGTAAAAACAGTAGGCTGCTCAGAGCTATCAGAAGAGAGATTTGCTGTTGGATTGACAAACAGAAAAAAATTCTTTTGTCCTTTCTGTTTAGTTTTCATGAGTGGGCTTCAATAATGAAGTTTATTTATAGTTTATTTATTAATGAGAGATATTGAAAATTGGGAAAAAAAGCACATAGGTATTCAGCAAATATTCAACAAAGACAAATGGAGGATATATACTGTCATTAGCAGTATGTGCAATACAAATCCCATCCTTTTTGTAAGATGATGTCAGATAGTGGGCACCAAAGTTGGCAATACACCATTTCTTTCCTCTACCTCAGATGAATACAGCATATATACTATATATATGTTGTTCAACACATTTGGAGGGGGAGAATTTAAGCATATATGAGTCAAATATGTTTGAAAATATTCAAACAACAAACAAATTATTTCAAACAAATATATTTGAAATAATTCAAGCAACATCCAATCACCTAGCTAACACACATATTTTTGCCCTGCCCTTTGAGCTAATCACAGGTATTAGTCTGTCCTACACAATTTTCCACAAAAAGCTCAGTCCAGGCTCTCAAAGCCACCATCTTTCTTCAGTCTTTTTCTGTCAGTTATTACAGTAAATTATCAACATACACAATGATTATTTAAATTCTGACACTGCCTATTACTGCTGTTCATCAAAGTCCTAACTGCATGTACATCTTCTCAGTGTATATACTTTATATTCTTATTTTTCCTTTCCTATAATGCCACATCCATCTTCAAAGTTTTTTTTAAATTAGATTTTGATTGCCAAGGTGAAAATTGGCCTGTATTTCATCTTTAAAAGAGTATTGCACTATTTGAGGGTTTTAGTGTTATTTTAATTAATTCAAGAAAATTTGAAAGCCTGGTTTCTCAGAAAAAGGTGAGGGACAAATTGCACTTCAGGTGTGACTCGCTCTTTCTTTCTTAATATCTACTCAGACACCACATGACTAATTATAGCCAAAAGCAGCTTTTCTACAGGAGGAATATATATGTATTATGTATGTATACATCAATTAGAAGACTAGAGTAGCTAATAAAAATTAATTTGATAAATCATATTCAAACCTATGTTTGAATATATATGACTTATATATCACAACCGCATCACCAGAGTGTGTACGTGTGCATCTCCACAGAAAAACAAAAAGAAAAAAATGTACTTTATGTAACAGAGCATGCCAATCAATACTCAAACGAAAAAAACAACAACAAAAAAAACAACCACCACCCACCTGGACTTGCAGAGATGGGATCAGGAAAGCCAAGGCGCAGGCAGAACTGAACTTGGCGAGGGACGTGAAAACCAATAGAAGACTTTCTACAGGTACACTGGCCAGAAGAGACAGGCCAAAGCGAGTGTTCCTCCTTTGGTAAATGTAAAAGGAGAACTGGCTTCAATGGAAGAAGAGAAGGCTGAGGTACTGAATGAGTTCTTTACCTTGGTCTTCACTGGCAGCCAGGATTGCAGTATTTCTCACGTCCCGGAGCCCTGCATCCCTAAACCTCTAGGTGGGGACTGGGATGGTAAATCCCCCCCCCCACTATAAGACAGAGCAAGTCCAAGACTGCCTCATGAGACTGAATGTGTACAAGTCTATGGGGTTGGATGGCAGGCATCCCAGGGTTCTGAAGGAGGTGGCTTCGGTGCTTGCTGAGCCACGCTCCACCATATTTGAAAAGTTGTGGCTGTCAGGTGAGGTCCTGGATGACCGGAGGAAGGGTCATGTCACTCCCATTTACAAGAAAGGGATCAAAGAGGACCCGAGGAACTACAGGCCAGTGAGTCTCACCTCTGTGCCTAGGAAGATCATGGAACAGATCATCCTGGACGACATGCTTGATCACATGAGGAATGTGATCCAAGTGTATGATCCAAGACAGCCAGCATGGCTTCATCCCCATTGCTTGACCAATCTGGTGGCCTTCTATGATGGAGTGATGGCTTTGGTGGACAAGGGAAAGACAACTGATGTTATTTACCTGGACTTGAGCAAGGCCTTTGACATGGTCCCCCACCACATCCTTATCTCCAAATTGGAGGGATGTCGA